GATGGCACCACCTATGATGCTCTGTGACTCTTTCATCAATCACTAATTAAGAAAATGCCCTGCAGCCAGATCTTAAGGATGCATTTTCTCCACTGAGGTTCCTTCCTTTCAGATAACTTTGTGTCAGGCTGACATAAGACTAGCCAGCACACCCATATTGGGTGGTTCATAGCCACCTGTAACTGGAGCTCCAGGGGATCCAATACCCTCTTCCGGCTTCCTGGGGCACCTGGATCTTCGTGTGCACACAACCACACATAAACGCATGCACTTACATATAATTTAAAAAGTAATAAAATAAATCTTTTTTAAAGGATCTATAATATTAGACTTGAACAGACTCAATGTCGATTCCTTTTCTCTTGGCATATATGCTTGGGGTGGCATAAGGGGGCTGTCCATTACCTCATTTGTCCCCCTTATCTGGTGTGAAGGAAGCATAGTCACAGGTTTAGCCTAAGTACAAAACAGGGTTCTTTTCAGGAATTTCAGTCTATTCTCTAATTATAATGGTCTTTGGTGGTTCATTAAGATCACGCATTAAAAGCAGTTAATCCCTACTAAGAAATCAAATGGAATTTCTCCAAATGACTCCCATTTCCAATTCCGCCTGCATTTCAATGAAGCCAGAGTCATCCCAATTAGAAAGCCAGATAATTACATAGTTCTTTGGATGAGATTCTCTACCTCAGACTCAGAGGCCACCTAGACTATAGACTTTATAGATTTATTTCTGGCTGTTTAAAGCAACATTTCCTCTGTTTTGAAATATTGAAATCATCACCACAGAATGCCAGAGTGTTCCTCGTAGGGTGGGTTAAATACGGTGTGGCTGTCCCTGGATGGCTCACGGTGACTGTACTGTGGCGTCCCAAGGAACACGGTTAATAATTATACATCTTAGGATGAGGCTGTGGCTCAGGAGGCAGAGTACTTGCTTGCCTGGCATGTAGGAAGTCCTGGGTTCCATCTCCAGTACTGCATATATCAGGTATGGTAGTGAGATACTGTAATCTCAACATTCAGAAAGTGGAGGCAGGAGGGTCCTGTGTATTAGAGTTACGGTCCATTTGTGGACATTACTCTGCCCTATTTCTTAGGCCTAAAGGGAAGTACATGTTATTGGTTGGAGTTGAAATGTGTGTGCTTTCACCCATAACCTTGGAGGTCCAGATAAAAAGCTTTCCACATTCAAGTGAGGTGGATTTTCTTTGCTTGTTGCCAGGCAGGTCAGGTCTGCAGCAAGCCAGGCCCTGGGATCCGGAGAAGTATTCGAATGACTCCTATGGAGAGGTACTCATTCGGCAGAGCTATAAGGCTGTTGCTGATCTGACCACCAGGGAGGGACGTGGCCGTGAACAGTGGCTTATCTGCTATGCTAATATTTGCCCTGGGCTCCAGCTGGACACTCACGTCACACAGGGTGACTGTCTGTACAGACTTTGGAATACTGCTTTGTACATGAAGCCACCAAGTTCAATCAAGCGTGGGACAACAAGGAGTTGAGTCAAGAGAGGTGGGGCCAATTTGAACAGATTGAGGGACCTTGGCCATGTGGCTCCATCATAGTTAAGGACAGCCAAGAGCAAAGACATCAGCATGCACCACCTTCAACCATGGCTATGAAGGGATCCAAGAAGTGGAAACATGTCCACAAGCTGCCATAATGCTGGAGACCGGAAAAAGAGCCTCCTAACACATGCTGGGAGTTTAACCCTGAGCACCTACCACTGAGTTATCTATATGTCCATCGGCCAAGGCCAGCTTGACACAAACCTACAAGAAGGAATATAATTTGTCTCCAACACATTTCCTCATGGCAACACCTTGAGGCATTTTCCTTCTTTCTTTCTTTCTTTCTTTCTTTCTTTCTTTCTTTCTTTCTTTCTTTCTTTCTTTCTTTGTGCAAGAGGTTTAATGGGGTAGGGGGAGAGTCTAAGGCCATGTCAGAGAGGGGACATGAGAAAGGCAGGCAGGCAGGCAGACAAACAGAGAGAACAGGGAAGAAACAAGAGGAAGAAGACAGAAGAGCAAGAGGCAAGAGCTCTGAGGCATTTTCTTATCTGTGATCAATCAGGAAGACCCATCCCACAGTAGGCAAGACTATCCATGGGCAGCCAGACCTGGGCTGTGTCAGAAAGGTAGCTGAGCAAGCCAGCGGAAGCAAGCTAGTAAGTGGCATTCCTCTATGGTCTCTGAGTTCTGCCTCGGCTGTCCTCGGTGACGGACTATAGCCTTTCCTCTTCCAGGTTGGTTTTAGTTACAGCAACAGAAACCAAATGAGAACAATGTATTAGTCACTTCACTGAAGCCTAGAAAAGTAGCCAGCTTGGATGCCAGTCTTTGTGCACGGAGCTTTTTCTTCAGAAAACATTCGGAGTGGAATTTTACCAAAGTCCCGCTTCATGTCTCCACAAATAAGCTATTCGCCAACATCATGAAGAACCCCAAATACACAGCTCAGCTTGTATTTTCCTTGGAAGCATGAGGGCCTGAGTTTGACAGTGGCACCCTTGTAAACACATCAGCGCCGGAGAAGTGGGGACAGTCAGATTGCTGGGCTTGCTGACAGGCCAGCCTAGTGGAAATGGTGAGTTCCAGGCCAATGAAAGACTCTGGCTTAAAAAAATCAAGGTGGAGCTGGGTGGTGGTGTCACATGGCTTTAAAATATTTGCGTTCAAGGCCAGCCTGGTCTACAGAGGGAGTTCAAGGATAGCCAAGGTTACAGAGAAACCATGTCTGGGAAAACAAAAAACAAAACAAACAAACAACAAAAAAAAAAAGAAGAAAGAAAAGAAAAAAAAGGCAAGGTGGAATGCTTGAGGAATGACAGCCGAGGTTGTCTTAAGGCCTCCATACACACATGCACAAGCACTCACTATGTACACTAAGAGAGAGACAGAACGATAAAGAATTGGAAAGGCTAGCTAAGTGCATCTTTAGAGGGACTGGGTTTGCTTAGGAGAGAGTTCAGCGCTCCAGCAAAGACCAGGCCGTAAATGCTGCTGCCTCTGTAGGTCAGCTGGTCTTTGTCACAATTACTCAACTCTACAATTTTAGTACAAAAGCATCCACAGACAAAGAGGAGGCATGACTGTTTTCCAATAAGATGCTATTTACAGATACAGATAATGGACTGGATTCAGTGCGTGGATTAGGGGTCACCAACTGCTGACACAGTTTAAGAATGGGTATCTGAGTATCTGCAGGCTGGCCTGGATCTACCAGATGCTTACAGGCTTGACTGTTCTCACACTCAGAACCAGTTCTTACCATGCAATTCTTAACTGGCCCAACAGTAGTACCAATAACAGCAACATTTAGTTGTGCTGTGAGATGTGCTAAGCCCTACTGATGAGTCCTGTGGAAAAAACAAGCCATGAGCTGGGTGCATGGTCCACACCTGGAATCCTATACTAGGAAGCCTGTGGCAAAAGGATCTAAAGTCCCATGGCGGTCTGGGTAACACAGAAAGATCCTGTTTCAAAATATAAAACAAGGCTGGTCATGGTGGCTCTCAGGAGATCCTTACCTTAATATCTGTAATCCCAGCCATTTGAGGGGTAGAGGCAGGAGGACTGCTAAGAATCTGAGGTCAGCCTATCTATATACTAAGTATTACTAAACCAACTTAGGCTATAGACTGTCTAGTGACCTACTTCCTCCAGGGAGGCGCCACCTCCTAAAGGCTCCAAAGTTTTGCAAAATAGTATCACCAGCTCATGATCAACACAACACATGAGCCAATGGGGAAGGGGCTCAGATTCGACACATAACATACATTCTCTGTATACACATAGGATGAGAGTCATTTGCTGCAGTTCTGGGTTTGGATTGAGACCTGACACGTGGGAGAACTCCTCCCATCTGCCAACTCCCAGCACTATGTTAGCATCAAGTATTTTGGATTTCAAAAATTTTAGTTAGGAATATTTAACTTGTGATAACACATAAGGGATAACTATTTTATGAGTGCAAGGATCATCGATCTTGGCATCACTGCCAATATATGTCAGATAATTTTGCTGGGGAGTCCTCCCCTGCCATGCACTATAGCTTGCTTATAATATTCCTCACATACACGCCTGGGACACCAGTACTACTACCCAAACATGATGATCGAAATCGTCTGGAGACACTGCCTTAGTTAAGATATACTATCTAGTACAGAATCTTGTTGTCTCTAATAAAGACAATTATCTGGGAATAAATCAGTGTCCACCATAGCCACTGGGACCCACAAGATGGCTTAGTCCACGGAGATACTTGCCACTAAGCCTGGCAACCCAAGGTTGATCTCCAGAACCTGGAACTCACATGATAGGAGGGAACTGATTATTCACTCATAAATATACACACAAAGAATTACACACATGTTAAAAACCCCTGCCAGCTCCCTTGCTCCTTTGGTTTGAAAAGTCCTGGGGTGTCTGTCCATCAAAAGTCTTTCATAATTACAACATTGGCTCCCCAAGGCTGATATGTTGTATATAAAGAGGCTTGCATCCAATAACCTTCTAAGTCATGTTCCACCTGAATTTTCTGAGGCAGGGTCTCTCACTGAACCCGGAATGTACTGATTCAGCGAGACTGGCTGACCAGTGTGTCCTGGGGACCCTCTGTCTTTGCATCCACCGAGCACTGCTGGAGTTGTAAGCACGTGCTGCCATGCCCTACTTTTTATGTGGTCCTAGGGATCTGAGTTCAGGTCTGCATGCTTGTTTAAAGGGCACTTTACCCACCAAGCCCTCTCCCTAGTCCACGTCTCACATCTAACACGCAAAGAGGTAAAGGTTTGGGGTACAGTTGCTGTAAGGAAAGATAAGCAACCCCAGTTCAAATGCCAGCCTGGTAGAGCAACTGAACCCCCGAACACTTGTTTCTGTCTAGTGGACGTAAGCCCTGGGCCCTTGGCTTGATTACTCCCCGGATCAAAGTAAAATTAAATTACCTCCCAAGCCTCCTTTCAGAGAGCTCAACAGCAGGCAGGCTGACTCACCTTCCAGAAGCTATCCACTTTGCCATACACAAGGGACTGGTTCTGCCTTTTGATTTCGTTAATGTGGTGGATGTCACTGGAGTTCAGGTGCTGCTCGACCACGAAGCCCAGGAAGCTGTTGTCTGGGGTGTGAGCTGAAAGGGGAAGCAGAAGACAGGGTTGTGAGCATTTAACAGGCAAAGAGCGGTGGTGGCATTACAGATCAGCACAGGCCGTCTAACCTGGCACATGCCTGCACTCATCCGGCTATGCCTCACCCAGGAGCTAGTCTACTGTGATTCCAGCTGGGTTTGCCATTGAGTGTATGTAAATCAAAACCAATCAGCATAATCCACAATTTCACCTCCTCTGTGGATTATCCTCTGATAAAAGATGTACAGGGGCTGGGGAGGCGGCTGAGTGGGGGATGCCTGCACAGCCCACTCTGTGAGTTCCTGGTTCAGTGAGAGGCTGTGGAGGGCTGCGGCTAAGCCTGGGACACAAGTGTGATCAGGCTGAGGGACCTCACTGGGGAAGGCATTTGTCATGCATGAGCACCTGAGCTCTACCACAGGTGCAGACAGAGAAAAGGCTGAGTGTAGCGGTGCACAGCTATAATCCCAGTATCTGTAGGGAGTCAGGTGGACTCTGCTGCCTTGATGGCCAGCCAGGCTAGCACAAATGGGTAAACTCAAGGTTTGCCTCAAAACAAACAAATAAACGGGCAGCTAGATGGATAAATACTAAGATGGAAGTGACTGAAGAAGATATTAAACACCAACCTCTGGCCTACACACACACACACACACACACACACACACACACACACACACACCACGTTTAAAAAGGGATTACAGAAACAATGGTGTTCCCATGAGACTCATCTTGATGACATTCTAGCTGCCTTGGTTTGGTAAGTACAAGCTAGACTGTTGTACAGCAGCCACAACCTGCACTTCATCTTTCTAAAATGTTCTTTACAGGGTCAGAGGACACCTCAGGCATCATTGCTCGGGTGTTATCTACATTGTATTTTTGTGACAGGATCAAGGACTTGGGGTTCACTCACTGGGTAGACTGGCTGGCACCAAGCCCTAGGGAGCACAGTCTCTGCCTCCCCAGTGCTGTAGTTTCGTGTGTGTATCATTATGCCTGGCTTTTCGTGTCAGTATTGGGAACTGGACTTAGGTTCTGTGGCTATCATGTCAGCAACTGGGGCCATCTGATCAGAAGACAATTCTCTCTTGATTAGACAGGACCCTCATCAGCTCTGCCTCCCATCTCATCAGATAAATTTCAGCTTGTCAGGAGATAGCTCAGCGAAGGCCACACATGGCTGAGATGAATTGAAGCAACTGTTGTTTAGTCTGACTCAAGTAAAACAGTTAAAAAATCACACAAGACTAAACTCCTCCAGTAACTGAGATTGGCCATTCAGTACAATCCACACACTGCCGTTTCAGCCAAGTCCTTTCCACTTTGGATGCCTCCAGAGCTAGTTCAGAAGTTCTGTGTGGGGATACGCATGCTCACACAAGTATGACTGTATGCACGTGGAAGCCAGAGCTCAGGTGTCTTGTTCAATCAATTTTCATCTTATTTTTTAACCATTTATTTATGTGTATAAGAGTGTACCTGCATGAGGCCAGAAGAGGGCGTCAGAAGCCCAGAAATGGGGTTGTAGGAGGTTGTAACTTGCCTGACCAGGGTGCTGGAAATCGCAGGGCAGCGTGAGCTTCTAATCACTGAGCCATCTCTTTAGGCCCTCTGCCTTCGACAGTGTCTTTCAGTAAACTCTGGACTCCCTGTTTCAGCTAGGTTAACCCTAGTCATCCTCCCAGGGGCTGGGACGGTGCTGTCACACCCAGCACTTTTTGTGGGTGACCAGGATGCTCTTCATTACTGAGGGAGCCACTCTCCAGCCTCCAGAAACCTTTTCAACCATTAAAGGTGGCCTGCTAGGAACGAGACACCCCAGCTTTGTTCTCTTCTTCCTGGGGGTTGAACGAAGGAGAGGACGGGTGCGGATGCAAAGGTACTCCGTGGGGATGCACAGGCTACATAAATATCACCCTGTCATCAGCCAGTCTCCAGGGCCTGTGCCTCATAGGGTGACAGGAGGAGGAGAGAGCAGGGCTGTGACTGGGAGCTGTGCTCAGCCAAGCCAATCTGTTCCTTCATTCCTGTGTTTTTGAACAAGCGCCCAGAGGCAAGGGCCATGGCTACAGTTAGCTGAATTTACAGTTAGTAAATTACTGAATAAATTCTATGGCCAACGAGAGACAAAGCGAGGGCTGCCTGCTGCTGTTTTTCTTTTTCCTCCTTTTTGAGAGGCACAGAGGGGAGGACACTAAAGCTAGAAAGAACAGGGGGCTGGGAGACAGCCTGAGCATTGGAAGCATCTAAGGCAAACCTTTGTTATTCTAAAAGCCCGAGATTGGAATCTGGGGCTCTAGACTTTTAAGATGGTAGTTTTAAATTTTTACTTCCAGGAAACTGTTGTACTGACTAACACTCCATTCTTGAGATATTTGTTTCTGTGATTCAGTTTGTCTAAGTTCCCATATGGGGGGAGAGAGAGAGAGAGAGAGAGAGAGAGAGAGAGAGAGAGAGAGAGAGAGAGAGAGAGAGAGAGAGAGGTCTTATATGCCACATTATCTAAAATGCAGTAAAAATAAGATAACTAAAAATTGCCAAAAGAAGAGGGTGACTATTTGCATTTCATGGTAAATCAATGAAATCCCATTACAAACGAGACTCAGGGAATGCTGCACTTAGTGCAGTCAGTCCATCCCAGAAGAGAAACAAACGGGATTTCTATGAAATCCACCCCGATAATCTGAGTTCTCTCCCCTTACCAAGTCCTGTCCCAAGTACGTGCCTGTGAAGCAAACCCCGCCAGTGAGAAAGGCGCTACAAGCACCTATGAGGCCAGCCTCTGGCAGGAGTATACTGCCATGCCTGAATTATGTGGTGTGGGAGGTGGAACCCAGGCCTTCAGACATGCTACTCAGACACTCTGCCCGCAGAGCTACATCCCAGACCCTCCTGTCCCCTTTAAAAAAAACTAAAGATTCTTAGGAAGTGAATTACACAGATCCCCAAGACCTGCTTTTTTTCTCCTGGAAATGGTAAAGCCCAGTGGTGCCGAAAGCGTGAGTGCCGAAGCTGCCCACAGACTCCCACCTTAGTGAATGGTTCAAGTGTCAGAAAGAACTTTAGGAGGAAATGAACAGGGAAAAGAACTCCTCCCAAGGGCCGATCCTCAGAGGGAACATTGAGGTTACTGTGGCTTGCACGTCTGTACAGGAGCAAAAGCCTTTTAACTGAAAGACTAAAAAGGCAATTTGCATGGAAAACGGCTCCTCTGATTGTCCTAGGTGTGAAACTGCACAGAAGCACCCACACTCAGTGAAAGGCGACAGGTTTGCAAGGAAGAGAAGTGGCTCATTAGTGTCAGGCAAAGTTTTGCTCCTTCATCGCCCGTCTCTCCTGAACAGGCAGTGGCTGTGAGCCCCAAACCACGGCAGAAACCCAGAGCGAGGAGAGCAGTAACAGTGACTGTAAGCATCAGTGTGGCTTGAGCATCTCTTCAAACCCAGAGGACAGATGCTCTTCAGAAAGAAAAGAACAAGACTCTGGATCACAAAGCACAGCGCTCTGAGGCCTGGAGACTTCTTTTTAAGTCAGGGTCTCACACAGCCCAGGCTGACCTCGAGTCTCTTTGTAGGACAGAGTGGTTCTCTTTCCACCTGAGTTCCAGTATGACTGGCATGGGCTTCCCCACCAGGTTTATGAGGCGCTGGGGATGGAACCAGGATGTCCAGCTGGGTAGGCAGGCACTCTATCAGCGGAATCACATCCCAGGACGAATTCTGAACATTGCCTACCCTTCCCTGATATGTTTGTTGCACGAACCAAATACTGGGCAGATATTACCCTTTGATTTTATTTAAATTCAATCAATAGATAATTCCTACCATGTACCAAGTTTCATCAATGAACAAAACAGGTAGACCCCCAAGCTTTGTATAACCCAGATGACCAGAAGGGAAAAGAAACAAAAGGAAGGGGATGAGTCCGAGGAGACAGAAAGTAGCAGAGGAAACGAGGCAGGTGAGGAGTGTGGGAAGTGGGGAAAAAGGATCTGCACTTTCAAATGGCATCAGGGCAAATTTCACCGAAGGGTCATCTGAGCTACAGATACAAGAGAGTGGTGGTGGAGCCAAACTCGGGGAAGAATGTTCCAGAAAAATGTAACAACCACTGCAAAGGTCCTGGGGTAGAAGTATGTCTGACATAGTTGAAAAAACATGAGGGGGTCCAGAGGAAAGTAAGGAAGACCATTAGTGAGAGGTGAGGCCAGGTTCCTCTGTGGCTGGAGTCTCCTAGGATGCTAGGACTGGTTCACATCTAAGCCGCTACAGTGACTCAACAAACAAACCACTAATCTGCACATCTGACTTTGCTTAGGGAACAAGGAAGGGCTCTGAGGCAGTGATGGCAACAACAGAGCTGAGAAGCAGCTTCAAAGGCGACCCAGATGCTTGCAGCTAGGGAAACAGGGCCCGAGCTGAAGCTTGCCTGGAGCGGGGTGGGGACAGTCTCATTGTTGCTGCCATTGCTACTTTAAGCCACAGTCTACAGAGAAAGATGGAGGATTCAATTAGATTAAGTGATCTTTCTACCCTGGCCAACATCTTTACAGGAGCCAGATGAAACTGTGAACGGGGGTGTTATGAGCTAATTAGAGCTATCCAAACAAAGGCTGGGAAACACTGCAAACCATTAATTCTGAGGTTCCCTTTTTCTCTCTTAGGTGGGTCCATCAAATACCTTCTCTATTTCTCTCTGTGTGGGTAATTTTTTTCCGGATTGTTTACAAAGGTATAACATACCTAGTTTGAGACAGAGAAGTAAGAAAAGAGATTGCCTTCAGGAGTTTACAGCAAGTGCATTCATAGTAGACAAAAGACTATCACTGAAACAATGCCTAGTTGGAGAGTGAATTCAGGCACCTGGAGACAGGTATGATAGTCTTAGGGACAACAAAACATCCCCCAGAATACAGAGTAGAAATGGCCATTTAACTAGATGCTTGACTAGCACTGGAAATATGGATAGTGTTGAAGCTTAAAAAGGAATGTGATTCATG